ATCTTCTCCTCCTCCAAACTCCCTCAAAACTCACTCAAAATCAACAAAGTCATACATCAAACTATAAGTAAAGAACATTCTAAACACAACCATGGTAGTTTTGAGGCTTGAAACCCACTAATTTGAGAGAAATTCCACACCCAAGTCCGCGGCCAAGTGAGGAGATTTGGTGTTCTTGGGTTGTTTGATCAAGCCATTACTTGGATATCACTTGGAGGAGTCCTAAGCCTTGCTTGTGGGTAAGTTTCAACACTTTTCACCGGTTGAATCATTGAATTTGAATTTGATGACCTAAGGCTTGCATGCTAGGATTGATATGATTAGAGAGCTCAAATTGAAAATGTGTATTAGATAAAAGTGGCTTAGAATGATGTTTTATAGTGATTGAGCTCATAACAATTATTGGTAAAAATGTTGAATAACTTAGGAATATTTTGAGTGGAATTTCAATACTTTGCGAAATGACATGATTGTAGGATTGTGTAATTAAGTTGTGAGTAATTGTATGAGTTAATTATAGGATTGTATGATGTGTGGAAGTGTTGAATTGAAACCCTTGAGTATGCTTCCATGTAGATTTCGGCCATGTGAGAGGATATAAGGTTGGATGATGTAAAATTCATGCAATTGGTATTTTGAGGCTTGGAGCTAAGTTTAAATAGGATGTGTGTTGGTGTAATGTAATTGAATTGGAAGGAAAATTATTGGATGTTTGTGAGTGTGTGTATTCGGCCATAATAGGGTAATTTAAGGAAAATGGTGTTGTGATGGTATTAAATTGAATTAAGGGCTTGAATTGGTTTTCGAGTTGAGCTTATAGAGCCATAGGAACTTTGTAATAAAATTTAGAACATGACTGGGCATTTAAGGCCATTTGGCCGAACCTATGCTTGTGTGTGGGGGATCTTTGGTGCTTTGTATTTTGATTGGTTGCACCATTGTGTTGATGATCCTTGAGTGATCATTGTAGGTTGCCTCCCGTGGACGTAAACTTGGAACGATGAGTTGGGTGGGTTGCCTTTGGTCCTTGACCAAAAAGGATTGTGGTAATTGATTGTGTAAAAATGCATGAGTACTTGAATAATCATGTATATGCTTTTATTTGGTTATAATTGAAGTGGGAATGACCTATGTGTAGGCATTTCTTGTTGGATCAAGCTCGGTAGTATATTGAATTGGAGCTACAAAGAGAGGGAGCTATCATCAGGTAATCCCTTGGTACTGGGAACACTTACTTGGATGAGAACCCGAAGGCTATATGCCGAGGCCAATAGGCCAGATGTTGCGTGGCTTTGGCATCGACCATTCCAGCTTCATCGTATTTTTACTCCTTACGCATCTCTACTTCACTAAATCCCTTGCTTTATCCGTTTTTGGTTGTTGTAATATGTTATTAATTTACATTTGAGTGAGCCATTGGGCGGAGTAATCTCTAGAACCTCTGGGTTACTGAGATATATTCGTATATCTCACCCTGTTTTGGATACTTTATTTCAGGTAGTAGCAGTGGGACATGAGCTGTGGGTAAGAGGCCCGTAGGATGAGCATATGGACGTAGAGCTTGTTTTACATTTTGAGGCCACTTTGTCTAGACTAGACTTAGGGCATGAACATTGTATATGGATTTAGGTTTATGCATATTGTCATATTTGTTCATGCCATCTTTTTGTCTAAGTCTAGTTGTATATTTGTTATGCTTTATGTTGAGGTTATTTTCATTATGTTGTAATTGAAGGACTTTTTATATTATGTTGTAATTGGAGGCTTGTAATTGTAATATTGGACCTTGTGTAATATTGAAGCATGCTATATGTTGAAAGGGCAATAGGCCTATTTTAGGTTATGAATATGTGTATGTTTAAAGAAAGCATGCAATTGGATCAAAGTGATTGAAATTGTTTAAGTTTTAAAATGTAAGAAATAAAATGTAAAGTGAGCAAATTGATATAAATTGTTGTGAGTTTTAAGAGCACCAAGGATTGCTGGTCCTTGAGTGCCACCCTTAAATATTAGGTACCATTGATAATAGTTATCACACTTTTGATAAAGTGGGATAGGTTGAATAAACAAAGGAGATGTCGTCGAATTTTCTAGAAAATGGCAGATTTTGGGTGAAATTTGGGAGAGCATATCTCCATCCACAGAAGTCCAATAGGGACATTCCATACACCATTTTGAATCTTGATATGTCAACTATGTTGTATCAAAATTTGGTAGCCATTGGAGTTGTAAGCTGACCTGTAGAGGTGTTTCAATATGGACTGTCCAGAATGGCCCTGCACTTGGGGCTGTCAGGTTACTGAATTGGGGAATTTATTTCTCCCTCAATTCTCGGTCAAATTAGGCCCATGATATGTCAAATTGTAGCTTGAGGTATCTAGTTTATTTTACAAAAATATGAGAGCAATTGGTGAAGTAGTTTGTCCAGAATCGTTGAAAGAGTAGAGGCTGTTTGGAGCCTTGTTTGAGGTTGGCTGGCAGTTTTGCTTGTTCAAATTCAAACGGTGATAACCGGAGCAAATGAGAACTTTATGGAGCGTATGATAGCTTGTTGGAAAGATAATTAAGTCTAGAATAACATAATAAAAGATGAGAGGTTCTTAGCATGCGGAGCTCTCGCAATATCCAGATTACTGATACATATATCAAAAGATGGCTCCGTGTCATTCCTACTAACATCATACAACATACTGCATAAACATAAATACATATCCTTGTCACATATAAATACAAATGTACATAGGCTAGTGTAACCTCTCAAAAAGACTATCTAAACTCCATACATCAGCACGATCACATATAAGTCATGTTATAACAAAACATATATATAAACAATCTCTCAAAATACACATCTATCTATCTGCTCCAGTTAATTACTCTAATCATCCATCATAGGCTTTTTGCCCAAAGAGCACTCACCAGTTAGTGATGTACCCGAAAAAAGTCCCTAAAAGGGGTGAGATATGAAATCCCAGTAAACTCAGGATTTATGGAGGGACTCTCCGCCCAAGAGTTCACTTCCTGCAAGAAGGGCTGGATAACATAGTATAGAAGACATAATATATTGCCACATATACATAACACATCCAATGACTATGCTCCAGGGACTATTCCCATAAGGAGAGTCCAAATATATACTTCTGAGAATCATAGATCCCTCTAGAATAAACATATATCGTAATCAGAGACTAATGTCCCATCGGACTATACATCTATATACCGTGATCATAACCAAATATGTCATACATGTTGATTTGGAGACTAATGTCCCCACATATCAAAATCTGCATATCGGGATCATAACCATGTATGTGGTCACTAATCAAAGTTGTACCCGGCTGCACTGTTGATTGCATACTTGGCAAAACAGTCGGCACAACATTCCTCCTCTGTGTATGAGCATGCATTTGACACTCCAATCCCTATTAATGCAATTCCTTCTAAAATGTGTATTTATTGAAGAAATATCTTTACCTTTTCTAGTTGAGACCCTTAAATAATTAATTGGCCTTGTATTAAACAATGAAATTCATAAGGCTTCATAGTTGTAAAACTCGGCCTGACCCGGAACCCGGTGAACCGGTCATCGGGCCGGTTCAGGTCAAGCATTGGACCGGTCATGCATCGACCCGGTCAAAACCGGTGACCCGGTCGGGTCATGCATTTAAAAAAAAAAACCAAAAAATCAAAACTGGTTCATCTTGTCAAAAAAAATGTAGAACTCATTTTAAAAACTTTTTGTAATTTTATTTGCTATTATACTCTTCTACAATGACCTCAAATTTCAGCTTCTAATACTGAAGCAATTTGCGGAATAATAAATTAAAAGAATGTGACATATGTTAATTTTAATGTAGTTGAATTTGAAAAATATGAGTTCAATGTCATTAAGAGGTATGTTTATGGGGATTCTGAGTGCCAATTTAAATTGACATAGTAATAGCATGCATTTTTATTTATTTATGCTTCATATTTTCTAGCTTATTTAATGAACCTTGTTTAATTCATTTTAGATATGGAGAATATAATTGAATTTATATGTTTATATTTATATTTATTTTTATATATCTATATATATCCTGGTCAACCGATCCGATCAGTGACACACCAGTTCTACCAGTGACCCAGTGACTCAGTATCCCAACCGGATCGATGCCCGGGTCGGGTTTAATAACACTAAGGCTTTCATTTTAAAATCTGGTTACTATTTTTTTTTTTTGGTAAGCAAATCTGGTTACTATTATGATGACTATGTTGCCTATTTTTGAAATTATAAATTTCTTGATTATTAAGGGAAAAATGTTTCCGCAGTTAATGCAGAGAAGTTATCTGCATTTATTCCCAAAACGACACCGTTTTGGTATTGAAATCTTAAAAAATTATAAATATAAAGACTATTATAACCCTAAAATAAATTAAAATTACAAAAACACCATGATTTCTGTCCCAAAACGAAGTCGTATTGGCTTAGTGCAGATAACTTATCTGCAGTAACTGCAGAAAAAGCGAACCCTTATTAAAAAGGTAAAATCATTTCTGCAGCTGTAGTACGTATAACAATTAATTTTAACCATTGATTCTTCATATTTAATACTTTCATCTATTTTTATATGATTATGATACCCCAGATTTAATTATTGTACATATGCAAAAATAACAATCCCATTAAAAAATGTCTTAGACGCAAATATAGTGGTCTATACTGTGAAATAACTAATAAGTGGTGATTGACCGTGGGACCAGAGTTTCCTGATTGAGGGTTTTTGAAACAATTACGTGGAAGTTGGTAATGAACCAGTAAAGAAGTACAAAACCTAAATATGCAATAAAAAAAAAAAAGTAACAAAAAAATAAAATAAAAGAAAATGGAAGAATGCAATTACGGATCAACCCGTCCGGCCTGATTTTGGTGGATTATTTATGGGCGGGTCGGGTCATTTTGAAAAATATACATATGCGATAAAAAAAAAACAAAAAAAATTTACAACGTTTGAAGGGGCTTGCATCGTTTATGTGTCCTTCGAGGGACAGAACAGATGTTGCATTCTTTCTCTTCACTTCCCAGATTTTCTCTATTCTTGACATCCAAACCTCAACGCCTCCATCAAAGTAACTCTCTCTCCTTCTCACTCTTCCTCTGTTATTGGATCGTGTTCATGTTTGCTGTGGGCATTTTTATCATTTATCTTACTTAAAGAGCATTAACAGTTTTTTTTTTTTTTTTTTCCTTTTTAAAAAAAATAAAAATAAATAAATTCTGGGTTTTCGACAGTTGCAGGGAGAGGGAGCAGTTATCAGAGCTCAACAAAGAGGGCAAGAACCATGGCCACTGCCATTGAGTCCACTATGAAGGACGCTTTTACCAAATATGCTGAATATCTGAATAACCTTGTAATGCTTCTCATCTCCTATCACCCTCCCATTAACAATGTCCTTGTATTAAACTCAAATTTTCAAGCTTTTTAAAATTCATTGCAAGACTGTGGTAGCTTCAGTGATTTTAGTTGCAAAAATTGTTCCTGTTCGAGTTAATTGTGCAAATTAGTAGAAGTTATCTGAAGGGTTATTGCTTTGAAGTCCATAAGTTTTAAATTTTACCTTTCTCTTTTTTCTCTTCGGGTGCGGGATTGGGGAGGTTTGTTGTAATGATTCTCCTCATATAGGCTTCTTCCTATTAGCTATGAGCCTATGAGTTAATTTTAGATCCTTTTTTAAAAGGTGCCATTTTCATTGTGATATATTACTGAAGCCAATACATCAAGTGCCCTTTTAAGGATATGTTTGGATGGAGGAGTTTGGAGGGGAAGGTTAATTTTTTATTTTTAAAACTAGATAATTATAAAATGTTTAAAACAAATGATCAAGGAATAATTGTAAGATTAATGATAATCTTTCATTCTATTCCTCTCATTTTAAGAAATTCTCAAATAAGGAAAATGTTTACTTCAAATGAAGAATTTCCTCTCCAAACTTATTCATCCAAACATACCCGAAGCTTGTGGATGAAAGAAGGGGAAATGGTGGCAAAATTGAAGGGTTGTGAACTGTTGATCATTGTATTCGGAATGGGAACATTGAGATATTAAAACTTCTGGTTTTTTATTTTTGTGCTTCCCTCCGCTTGGGGCTGTTACTAAAGGACTAGAATACTGGGGTGGAAGGGCTTTATGTGGGAGAGTCTCCCTCAAATTTTACTTTACTGTATTGTTTAACTTTATGAGAGTTGTGATTTGCAATTCATCTGAAATTTTAAGAATTAATAATTTGGAGCTCACTGCTCACTGCCCCTTTATAAAAAAATCTTGCTTCGTTGATAATATGTAGCAACTTGCTTCACAATAACATAATTGGAATGTTTTAAGAATATATGGATATATGGTGGCTATGAGTATCATGTAAAGTCAGCCCCTTTACAATATGGTTGCATACTGTTGCTATTGCTATTATTTTGATACTTTGTAAACATATATTTGTAGAATGACAAACGGGAAAGAGTGGTCAAAGCAAGCCGTGATGTAACAATGAATAGCAAAAAGGTCATATTTCAAGTGCACAGGTTAGCTATCTCTTTTTCACTCCTCTCTCTCTCTCTCTCTCTCTCTCCATGCTCATGTTATGAGGATATTCCTGGATCTTTAACTGCTTCATATGCCATCTTGGATCAGCTGAATTTCTTAAAAAATAATAAAAAATAAAGTCTTTCCCATGGTCTTTGCTTGGATTGATTTGTCCTCTATGTTGCTTGTGTTCTTTAATTAGTCGTGTGAATCAACTTACTTTGATTGTATCTTGAAATTGTTGTACTACGGTGAGTTTGTTTTCTACTAGAAGCAAGTGTACCTTAATTGCATTACTCTCACATTCATACTTTTTGCTTCATTCTCTCCTCCCCCCTACCCCCTGTATTTCTATAGGATAAAGGTAAAATATAAAAGAAATAGGATCTAAATCTTCTGATGGTTCTTCATCAGTTGATCTTACTGATCTTACTGGTATTATATCTTCATTATCCTGATCGCATTACCATTGTCTAATTTCTTAACAAGGATGAGTAAATACAATAAAGTTGAAGTACTTGAGAAAGCAGAAAAGGATTTAGCTGCTGTGACAGATCAGTACATGTCTCGACTAGTCAAAGAATTGCAGGGAACTGATTTTTGGAAGCTAAGACGAGCATACTCACCTGGGGTATACTTCACATTACTTTCAAGTTGAGATCAAGTACTTTTCTCTGATATTTGTCTTGGGTGTTTGCAGATACAGGAGTATGTCGAAGCAGCTACATTCTGCAGTTTCTGCAAAAATGGAACTCTTTTGAAGCTTGATGAGATAAACAACACATTGTTACCTCTTAGTGATCCATCTCTACAGCCTCTGCAGATAAATATCCTTGACTATCTATTAGGGGTATTTTTTTTCTTTACCTTTTTTTGTTATCCATGTTAGGGATTTATTTATGTTTTTGATAGCAGATAACATACCACCAAATAAGAGCCAATTCAACAGATTACTAGTAGTGCTTGATTTGTTATGATGATCTCCACAATTATGTTTGTTTTGTTTTGTGCTTTCGTTTTTTTTTTTTTTGGGTAATCCTTACATGAAGATGAAGCGTGCATGCAACTTAATTGTGCCTTTTCTCCCCCTTCCTCTAGAAGGTGATCAATATTCTTTTACAGCTTGCAGATTTGACTGGAGAGCTGATGCGTCTGGCAATTGGTAGGATATCGGATCGTGAACTTGAATTTGCTGAGAAGATATGCAGATTTGTACGTGATATATACAGGGAGCTTACACTTGTAGTGCCACACATGGATGATAGTTCTGATATGAAAATAAAGATGGATACAATGCTCCAAAGTGTCATGAAAATAGAGAACGGTAATTTAGTGGCATTTAAAAATATTGTTGCAACACTAATGTTTCTATCTATTAAGCTTGATGCCTTAAAATTTTACTGGAGCACTAATAGAATAATCTAGCAACTGAATGTAAATTTTTTTTTTATATCTTCTTAAGTTAATAAAATTGATTTTCCATGTTTCAATAGATTCTTTTCTTAAGTTCATGATATGGGATTCCTACATTTTTGTACTTTACTCTACAAAGTGTATCCTCTTATAATTGTATTCAGGTCTAAAGCTATTCCCACTCTATAATGATGATGCTTGCTGCAGCTACTAGTATTTGTATGATAACACCTTTGTAATCATGTTTAAATATGGCATTCCTAAAATTTCGATACCTGAGGTGAGATCAAGAGTTCTAGGCCACTGGGTGCATGAGTGATTATGATAATTCCTACCTGCATAATCTGCTCAGATAATGTGCAATGACGGACACTTTATATTTCCCTAAAAAGTCAAAACCCCTGATAAACCCTTGTACGACAGCAACAGAAATGTTGATATTTAAGTTTTTAATTTGTATCGAAAACCCAAATTTCAAATAGCTTTTTCTCCCCATCCCACCCGGACAAAAAGTGAAGTGAGAGAGAGAACATTGTGTATGATCTTCTCATATATACATATTTTGCACGGAATCTTTATAACATATGTTGTTTTTCTAGCTTGCTTTAATGTTCATGTGAGAGGATCAGAGTATATTCCACTTCTGGGATCTAATGATCCAAGTTCGTTCTTAGTGGGAGTTCCGGATATTGAACTATGAGGTATTCTATCTTCTCAGTTTCAGTTTATACTGGGAGTCTATTTATTATTTATTCCTTTCTAATGAAAGGTTTCCTTATCTTATACCAGTTATCCATTGGACGCTTTGTGAGATATATGTAGATGAGTGAATAGTCTACTGGAAGGCTTTGAAGGTTGGTATTACTGCATGGATCAATATCAACAATATTTTGTATAAGCTGCACATGACAATCGACAATGAGGTTTACAGATGATTCTTAGCAAAGATGACATGTATGATTGTCATTTTATTTTGAGCATTTCACATAATGTTATTGAGCTTACACTAAATCTTCTTTGAGATTAAATAAGTTTTAATTTAAAGTTTGAATTATTCCATTTGTGATTGAAAAATCATGGGTTCGAATACGGAAAATAACTTTTTTGCAAATATATATGGGTAAGGTTGTGTCAAAGGATTGCTCTCATCCCACTCTCGCTAGTTAAGGTTTAATGGGGAGTGGTGATTTGAATTATGCCATCATATGAACAGTTCAGTTTTCTTTTTAGTTTATTATTAAATTTGACAGCTAAATAATTGTCTATGCCATGTTTAGACATGTTGATGGTTTTAATTAGATAAACCATGAATTAGCCATCCGTGCCTTTAAATCACGAAATGTTATTGTGTAACTTAGGTAGAGTAGTATCAGAATTATATTTGTCTTACTAACTAACAGTGCCACTATTCAATTAAAAACTAGGGAGCTGCCTTACAGAATTCTCGTCCCTATCGCTTTTGCATGTGAGGCGAAGAGATTCTACGGTGGTTTATACCTCTAAGATCCAGTTGAGACAAAAAAAAAACTCCATTGATGTACTAGAAAGAACGTACTCGTAACCATACATTCATCCTCAGATATTCAACAATAAATGGGTTTTTAGATCTCATTATCACTTGAATTTAAGTGGTGTTCCTTGCTGGGTTTGGAGGTTGAAGATCCGAAACCTCTTCTTCCTTCTTCCATGGTCTAGAATTACAGATAAAGAATCAAACATAATAAAGCGTAACATATTTTCTCCTCTTTCAAATTTTTCGGTAGTTCAAGTGCTGACAGTGGGTATGGGGTAACGACGCAAGGGAACAAATGATTAGTTTGTATAGAAGCACTATGATGTATTAAGTATGTATGATTAATAATATTCACTCTTTTCTATTTTCTCTATGTTTTTCTCATTGGGTTTGTGTTCCCATCATTTGGTGCTTTCATTTCATTGAATATCAAGTCACTGATGTAATAAGTTTGGTATCGAACCGTTTTGTTCAATTGGAAATGACATTTTATATAGTAGATGATACAAGGCTTCATAAGGTGATTTGAATTTGAATACAACTTTCGTAGTTACAAATGACTATTTGATCGTAGTTATAAATGACATAACCGTTACAACTGTTATAAATTTATATAGTAAATGCCAACATGTTGATAGCAAAGCATGCTCTGAAATCTTCAATTTGAATTCAAAAACCGCCTCCGCCGTTTTTGGAGTCTATTACTCCCCCTCAAGTTAGAATGTATACGAATGAAACACCCAACTTGGCAAGGTTGGAAAAGAACATAGCTTTCCCTAATGCTTTGGTAAAAATATCTACTAATTGACAATTGAACCGAACATACAAAGTAGAAATGGTGTTTGCCTGAACATGATCCCTTATGAAATGATAGTCCAACTTAATGTTTTGTTCTTTCATGAAATATTGGATTGGCAACAATGTGTAAGGTTGCTTGGTTTCGCAGAAAAGTTCCAAAGGCTTGTTATGAGTGACACCAAGAGAGTGGAGGAAAGCTTTTAACCCTACTAATTCAACAGTCGTAAGCCTTAGGTGTGAATCTTGAAATCGTGCCTTGTTTCTTGGTTTTCCTAGATATGAGAAACAAGCCAAGCATAATAAAGAATCATGTGATGGATTGTCTAGTGAGTGGACATCGAGCCCCAATCATAGAGATCACGATCAGATTTTAATAACAAACCTTGACTAGGGTTGTGTTTGATATACCTTAGAACATGAAGAGTTGCAATGGGTCGGGTCTTATGATAGTGAGATAGACCAAGCGACTCACAATGGGTCTATACCGAGCTGGATCTTCATAGTCTTCCCCATCTGCCAGCGCAAGACGATGATGTTGTTCCATAGGAAATGTAGTAGGTTTGCATCCAAGAAGGTCAGCCTCAGACATAATGTGAAGAGCATATTTTCGTTGAGAGAGAAAAATGCTAGTGGTATTGCGAGCAATCTTGATCCCCTAAAAAATACTTTACCTACTCATTTAATAAACTAATTTCCAATTAACCCATGAATCAATTATCAAAATTTCAACATTCACCAGAGTCTATTAAATTTACTTTAACAAATGAATTTAAGGTTTCCTGGTAATTGTGTAAAATTACAATTTTATCCCTAGTTATGCATTAATGACTCGATCTTTCAAAAACCATCAAAATTCACCAAATAATTCCAATAATCATGTTTCTTAATTCTAAATACCTCTTTCAACATATATCCAATCTTAGAAATGTAATCTCATTTATGAGTTTCCCAGTAAAATTGTACCACAATATTTTACCCGGTAAAATCACTATTCATCAGTTTTCGTAAAAAGTACCTACTCTCCAAATTTCGTTCCGAATCCAACTCCATCATTAGTTTCATCAAATAAGGTCTAATTTTATCATTTAACAAGTTAGAGTTATATATTTACCAATTACCATTTTACCCTTCGTGTCTATTTTCATCCGAATTTCATTATTTTTCCTAAGTAAACCTTCTAACCCACAATTTAAGTATTAGTAATGCAATTAAAATATGTGAGGTGTTATATTCACACCATCTTTTTGCAATTTTGTCCACAAAATTAAAGTCATACTTGTCCACTAACTCAGGATACAATCGAAGAATCTTGTCTTCCCGCTTCCAAGTAGCTTCCTCAAATGTATGTCCTTCCCACTATACCTTTACCATATGAATAATCTTGCTTCTAAGCTTCTTTTCAATATGATCCAAAATATCCACAGGACTAAAGAGTCTTTAAATTCTCCTGTATCTCGATATCATCCGGTATTACCACATGTGACTCATTCAGAACATAATGTTGCAGCTGTGAAACATGAAATACGTCATGTAGATTAGACAACTGGTGAGGCAAGCTGATAGGCGACCAGTCCCACTCGTTTAATAATTTGATATGGCCCAATGAGCCTGAGACTCAACTTCTTTACTCCCAATGCACGACCAACACCAGTAACCGGAGACAACCGCTCAAACACATGATCTCCTTCATAGAATTCCAACGGTCTATGCTTATTATTATAGTAACTTTTCTGAAGACTCTGCACCTGTTTCAATTTATCTATGATCATCTCTATTTACTCAGTAGTTTACTGCACAAATATTTTCTTATCACCTACCTCAGTCCAACACGTACGAGTCCGACATCTCTGTCCATACAATACCTCATACGGTGATATGCCCATACTGGAATGAAAGATATTATTATAAGCCTAAAAGCCCCTTTAATTAAAGAAAACAAGTGTCTACTAGGAAATCAGAAGATATTCAAGTTTATGGAGACATGAACTTACAGGAACAATAAGTGAATCAATACCCTTATGAGTGATCTTGGATGGAATATGTATCATAAACCTTGCACAACTTTGTCAGAATTCATTGTGACTTTGATAACTATGACAAGAGTCTGTTATTGTGAGAAACTTGTTTCTTGATTATTGAAGTGCAATAAACTGTTTCCGAATGAATGAATTGGTTGTTGCAATGTGATGGGACTGTGTTCCAGTCCCATTTGTAGTGTTCTGACTGATGGAAATCTGCTGTTTTTACATTTCATATTAAATAATATAGTAAATAATAAGTGAAAATTCAATAAATTGTGGTTTTAGTAAATAAGTGAGTGTGAATGTGAAAAAGTGAGAAAAGAGAGAGAAGTAAGAAAAGATGTGTTGTATTGGTTATTTTTTAATTTCACTCATTATTAATTTTTTCTTTTTGCAAGGCACCACACAAAGGCAACCATTAACTTTGTAATCAAGACATCAAGTCATAAAAGAAGTGGAGAATGATTCTGACAAGATCATAATTTGTTATAAGAGAGAGAAAAGCAAAGAACAACTCAACAATTCTTAGCCACCCGATTCAAGAAGAAGAAATATCCCCTGATCTAACGGTGGAGGGAATAAGCTGCAACATTCACCAAATCACCATTGCTTCATCATTATAAATAGAAGATCAAATGAAGACAGAAGGGAGCTTTTTCTGGAACTTCTCTCAAAGCCTTTTCATCCTCACGAGTCCTTCACATGCATCACAATTTTCTGTTTTCTACAAATATATTTCGTCCCCTGTTCTTTTGAATTTTTGAGTCTATAATTTCTATTCTCTGCTGTTCATCTTCTTCAACATGAATCTCAATAATCTGTAATGGATTTTAGGTAGTTGAAGTTTGTGTGTATTTTCAGCCATGCCTTTAAGCATGAGCTAATTTTCTTTTGGAATGGATAATCTGTAAAGCTATTAATCTCTGCAATCGAATTTAAGTTACTTAATCAAATGATTTTTGATGTTTTGTGTTTTAATATCTTGTATTAAAGAAAAGTGAACAAATCTGAGAGAGGAACTTCCATCAGGAAGGGATCTTGGATTGCAAAACATTGGTTGGAAGGTGAAAATGTGGAAACAGTCTCACTGGTTTCCTTAGGAATAAGGGACTGCCAAGTTCATTAAGGTACAACACAATGTAAATGTTGGGAACGAAATCGTAAGGAAACACGAGATTTCGTATACCAAATAGCCCAAGAGCTTAAGAAATCAGTGTTGTCAATGAAAGTGACTCAAACAAATTCATTGGATGAGGTTCTGAGCCTAAATTATAGTTGATTTTCAGTGGATCAGTGCATCCATTCCTTCTTTTTTATCTGTCATTCCACATTTCATTTCATCGTGTTTTTCTAGAATTTTTCTTAATTTAATTACCGCATTTCTTCTTATTGTTATAATTCACGCAATCGGTTGTTCCCATGATTTGTCATTACTCCTTTGGAAGAAAGGATTAAAAATATATAGCGACACGAGGGACTGTTTTAAGCAATCTGAACTATCTGTTAAAATGGGAAAACAACTATGATAGTTGGGAATTATACGCAGATAATAGTTCATTACGTTTTTAATTGTCTTCTGCATTCATTTCCATACTTTATACATTTTATAATTCACATTAAAGATATTTTCTCCGTGGGA